GTCTCATTCAGGTTTAACTATGGTTGAAGTTAAACTATGGTTAAAGAGTGGATCCTTTAACACTAGACAGTTACAGGTTTATGATTCCACATTAACTGCCATGACAACTTGCTATGAAGTCCTGGATTGCCAGCTGATAGACTGACCTGATTGTGAGAGCCGTTCAGCAGTGGAACTCTCTGCCTTGGAGTGTGGTGGAGGCTCCTTCTTTGAAAGTTTTTAAACAGAGGTTGGATGGCCATCTGTCATGGGTGCTTTGAATGCAATATTCCTGCTTCTAGGCAGGGTTGGATTGGATGGCCCATGAGGTCTCTTCCAACTTTATGATTCTATGATTCTATGACCTTCAGAATCCTCAACTTCTCATCCTTTGGACCAAACTATGAATTCCAGTATTCCACAGGAGATAGACATGGCAGTTGAAGGGGAAACATAAGTGCTGTGACTGAAATCTAAAAAGGCTCTTCAGAACTAGATCTTTCTTGTGGTTGCCGGTGATGGTCAACAACTGTTTTTTCTGCTGCTACTATGTACTTCCAAATAACAACTGTGTCCTGCTAAGGTGGCCCTCCGGATTTTTTTGGATTTCATTAGCTTCCTGTTTTACTCCATATAAAATCCTCATTTTCCCCATTTTATCCTAAAATCCAGGGGGTGTTGGTGTTATAAGCTACGTGGTAGCTTCAGAACCTCCTCCTAACTCCTGATAACTTTGTTTTATGAGTTGCACATACACTGCCATATAATCCAGTTCAAAGCAGATAATCCAGATTTTATACATTTACATTTACTTTATTTATATTCCACTCTATCTCAGGGCAGATTACAGAACACATTTACGGCAAACATTCAATGCGGTTATATAATTAACAAGGACAGACAATATACAAACACGGAGCTTTTGTCATCAGGCATGTAGCCGGGGGGGCTTGAGGGGCTTCAGCCCCCCCCCCCCCGAAATTCTCATGGTGGTTTGCGAAAAGGCCTTACTGGTGCATTATTTAAACTGTTATGTTTATTCATATCATGATCTGATCACCATACTCAATATATCCCATATGCATGGGGGTATTGGGGTAATGATACAAAAGGTTTGCTAGGGTAGACCCTCTTTCACTCAGCCCCGCCCCCCCCCCCCGAACCTCAGCCTGCCCGAAAAAAACTCACCCCCCCCCCGAAACGAAATCCTGGCTACGGGCCTGGTCATCCATAGCCATTCTCCCAATCAAATTGCCAACATATTCTTATGGGTGCCTTTATTACCTTCCTGCTTAAAGCAGTACCTATTTATCTACTCACATTTCTGTTTTCGATCTGCTATGTGAGCAGAAACTGGGGCTGACAGTGGATGCTTACCCCAACCCGGGCTTGAACTGCCAACCTTTTGATCGGTAGGATTTTCTCCATAGACATCCTCCCAATCAAATTGCTGGCATGTTCTTACAGGCGCCGTTGTTATCTCACTTCTTAAAGCAGTACTATTTATCTACTCACATTTCTGTTTTCGATCTGTTACATGAGCAGAAACGAGCTGACGGTGGGCGTTCACCCCGACCCGGACTTGAACTGCCAACCTTTTGATTGGCAAGATTCTCTGCAGTTTAGCCAGTTTCACATGGTCTGCTAAGCCCAGCCAGACTTTTTGGTTTAGGATTTGTTGTTGTTGGATGGGTCAGAGACATCCGACACACACTCTGCATTGCATGTATGGTCTTCCACTTATTCCACCTATTGCAACCCCTAGCTCCATCTAATTTTGGCTTTGCCTGCAGTTAACTGCTTTGTCCTTCCACTCTCCAATTACAGGTTAGCCATGCAATTAATTTGCCCATGGCATTAATTTATACTGCACAAAGAAATCAAGTCACAAAAAACCTGAGGAACAGACATATAAAACTAACAGCTGCTTTATACAAGTCCCTTTTGATTTACCTGTACATTTTAAAGATTCCATTGAATCAATATAATCATTTATTATTTCCCAGCTGTAATTTATTTCTTTACCCGCTCCCCCTCCCCCCATCCCACACGCAAAATATGTGCAGGTGTTCATACTGGTAAGTTGGACATATGTCCTACGGGGATGCTTCTGTTTCCAGTTAGATTGCTGCAGTAATTAAAATAATGTTTATAGTGTAAATGAGTGGGCTTTAACATTCACGATCAGCTTTCTGGTTGCAGTTTTGAATATCTGGACTTATTCTGGTAGTGAGAAATAGCTGATGACCACACATTAATTTGCCAGGAAGCAAATGAAATTAAATCCTTTAATGAACACTGCACATTTCCTGTGCTCCACCAGGTCCCCAGTTATTTTCGATTCCCAAACTTTTCAGATTTCCTTTCTGCTCCTTTCTGCCTTTCGAAGTCCCTTTATGCCGCTATCCTCATGAACGAAGTTGTAACAGCTGGACACTTTTATACGGCTGACAGAGAGTACTGCTGTCAGAAAGCTTTTTCAAGTATTCAGCTTCAACTGTATAATGCACAAATCACCATGCTTTATATATATAAAAAAATCAAAACAATGTTGTACAGAGTCAGAAGAACACTGCACGCTGAAATATGGCAAACTCCAAAAGCATATGTTTAATGTTTGTGCTAAGTGGCTTTCCCACATGTCCTCATGTGTGAAGAGATATTTACAAGTAAGAAAAAATATGCTTCCAAATCTCTGACAAAGCAAATGCAGTTGTTGCAATTGCCTTGTACTTCTGCACTGCAGAAGGTGCCTATGCAGATTTGCACCCAGATGGAATCATTCCCTATGAGAATTAGATATGACTATATAGACTAAGGAGCCCCCGGTGGCGCAGTGGGTTAAATCGCTGAGCTGCTGAGCTTGTTGACTGAAAGGTCGCAGGTTCAAATCCGGGGAGCAGCATGAGCTTCCGCTGTCGGCCCTAGCTTCTGCCAACCTAGCAGTTCAAAAACATGCAAATGTGAGTAGATCAATTGGTACCGCTCCAGCGGGAAGGTAATGGTGCTCCATACAGTCATGCTGGCCACATGACCTTGGAGGTGTCTATGGACAACGCCTGCTCTTCGGCTTAGAAATGGAGATGAGCACCACATCCCAGAGTCAGACATGACTGGACTTAATGTCAAGGGTCAACCTTTACTTTATATAGACCAAGGTGGACAACTTTAGTCCTCTAGTTGCTTCTGGCCTACAATTCCTATTATTCCTAGCAAATAGTAAAAAAAACCTGCAAGAACTGATGCTCAAAACATCTGGCAGGCCACATTGTCTGACAATCCCGAACCTAGCCTTTTGAAATCTAGCATTATGGGTCATACAATTACATGAGGAACTACTCAGTTCTACTTGGAAGGACTTCATATCAGAACAAAGCAAGAGTGGAGAACATGTGGTTCTCCAAGTATCAAGGGGCTACACTGTCATCAACACTGGCCTGGATGGGATATACAGGAATTGTAATCCAATATCTTCTGGAGGATTAAATAATCTCTTAATTTGATATAAAAGGAAGACCTCTTTGGACACCTGTTGCTTGTATGTGAAAGACAGGACCAAAATCCATCACTCTTGCCCCTTCTACACTGCTATATAAAATCCAGATTATCTGCTTTAAATTGGATTATATGACAGTGTAGACTCATATAATCCAGGGCCCTTTGACACAACCATGTAACCCAGAAGATCAAGGAAAGAAAATCCCACAATATCTGCTTTGAACTGGGATATCCGAGTCCACACGGCCATATATTCCAGTTCAAAGCAGATAATGTGGATTATCTAGTTTGATAATCTTGAATATATGGCATTGCAGAAGGAGCCTCTGTTTCCAACTACAGTCATCCTGCTCTCCATGGATGCTCAGAAGCACAGCAAAGGAATCATAATGTAACAAAATTTGAAAATAAATTATGTTCCTGGTTTGAAAGTCTTATTCCTGTTTAATTGTGTGGTACTTACTTTGAAAGTAGTTGTTCTACTCCAGAAGCTTTGTTTTTGTAGCTGACACAAACTATGTTGAATTGGTTGAGACTCTATGAGATGTTCACTGAAAAACTATAGCAAAATGTACTGCCAGATGTTTCTCCCGCGAAAACAAAGGTTTTGCAGTTTGATAAACTTTTCCCATGGTTTTATGATAGAACCGATTAGGAAATGATATTTATAACTCAGGAACAGAGTGTCAACTATCCACTGTTGCCTGTCCTCAGAACCTGGAACTCATAGGAATGCAAACTCAGAACAAGGATGGTGTGTACAGTTGGTATTGATAGACCCAATTTCCACAACATTGTTTAAATAATGGATCTAGAACAAAATGTTGCAGTGTAGAGTCCTCTAATCCAACCATTCAAGGTATTCGGGTTATCTTCTTTGAAATGGATTATATGGCAGTGTAGACTCTACCTTATTCAGACCATCATCCAAGATCCTTCCTTTGAGTCCTGCATGGTCTTTCTGGCATCATGTGAAGGCCTTTTGATTCTCCCAGAAAACTGTTCTTACTGCTTTTGTTTTGCCTCTGTTTTTAAACCTTTTTATCCTGGCTTTAGTACCCTGCTTTCTCCATCCTTTGCTTGTCTTCTTTTTCCCAAGGAACTCTGGTCATTGGACAGTCTTAAATGATCATAAATAAGCATATGATCATAAATATGGAGCCCCCAGTGGTGCAATGAGTTAAACCCTTGTGCCGGCAGGACTGAAAACCAACAGGTCGCAGGTTCGAATCCGGGGAGAGTGCGGATGAGCTCCCTCTATCAGCTCCAGCTCCCCATTTCGGAGACATGAGAGAAGCCTCCCACAAGGATGGTAACGTATCAAAACATGTGGGCGTCCTCTGGGCAACGTCCTTGCAGACGGCCAATTCTCTCACACCAGAAGCGACGTGCAGTTTCTCAAGTCGCTCCAGACATGACCAAAAAATAAATAAGCAAGGTACCAAAGGGAGACATTTATGGTAAGCCATCAAACTGTCATATTTTCAAAATTAGCAAATACTGATCTGGGAAGCACAACATACCTGACAAGATGAGGAGCTCAATGATCTCTGCATCCCCCAGGAAAGCAGCGACATGAAGAGGGGTGCGCTTTTCTGTGTCCTGAAAGGAAGCAGAGGGTAAAGCCATGACTATCACAAATGCCGCTGTGTATTAATAGAAACTTCAGGCTGCAATTGTGGCAGAGCTGTCCTATCTGTCAGATATAGATCTGAGGGGGAGAGGCAAAAACCAGGCCTGGGTCCCTCTTGGGCCCTTCTACACTGTCATATAATTCATATTATCAAAGAAGATAATCCACATTGGGTTGCTGGGAGTTTTCTGGGCTGTCTGGCCATGTTTCACAAGCATTCTCTCCTGACGTTTCGCCCACATCTATGGCAGGCACCCTCAGAGGTTGTGAGGTCTGTTGGAAACTAGGAAAATTGGGTTTATGTATCTGTGGAATAATGTCCAGGGTGGGAGAAAGAACTCTTGTCTGCTTGAGGCAAGTGTGACTGTCGCAACTGGCCACCTTTATTAGCATAATCAATAACAGATAATCCATATTATTTGCTTTGAACTGGATTATATGAGTCTACACTGCCATATAATCCAGTTCAAAGCAGATCATCTGGATTGTATATGGCAGTGTAGCTGGGGGCTTGGAAAGCTGTCAAGGTAGCATAAAACACAAGGATAAAACACCACTGCAACAGTACCAGGCTTGGTTTTTCTTCTTCCCAACACCCACTTAGCACAGACTGCAAATGGCAGTGAAGATTGAATATCTCTTATCTTGAAATCCAAGCTTCTCTAAAATTGCCCCATGCATGGTTGAGAGAGTGGCACCCTTGTTTTCTCATGCTTCAACGAGCACAAACTTTGTTTCACGCTCAAAATGATTTAAAATGGATATACAATTACATTCTGCTTATGTTTATAAATTCTACATTACTTTCAGGTTATGTGGATCAATGCTGTAACTTGAAATTTATTTTACACAAAATTTGAACTTCTTTTGCGCAGAAAATTGCATTGCTGTTTACTACATGAAAGGTTGGCTTTCTACATCCACAACCACATGCTACATTTTCCTAGAAGTCTGGAAAGATGAAGACTCCTGTCCTGTTAGAGTTTCCCAATACTGAAAACACACATTTTAATCCTACTTCAAATATTTTCCCATCCTTATCACAAAAATAAAAGATACCGGGTGAAAAGTGGAGCCAGCATGACCACCACTGCCCTCAATGCAAAGGTCGAAAACATTATTTTAGATTTTGTTGTTATGTTCTTTCAAGTTGTATTGTCGAAGGCTCTCATGGCCGGAATCACTGGGTTGTTGTAGGTTTTTTCGGGCTATATGGCCATGTTCTAGAGGCATTTTCTCCTGACGTTTTGCCCGCATCTATGGCAAGCATCCTCAGAGGTAGTGAGGTCTGTTGGAACTAGGAAAAAGGGTTTATATATCTGTGGAATGACCGGGGTGAGACAAAAGGACTCTTGTCTGCTGGAGCTGTGTGAATGTTTCAACTGGCCACCTTGATTAGCATATAATGGCCTGACAGTGCCTAGAGCAAACTTTTGTTGAGAGGTGATTAGATGTCCTTGTTTGTTTCTTTCAAGTTGTTTCTGACTTATGGCAATAATGAGACTCAGGGCCCTTCCAGACAGGCCCTATATCTGATCCCAATTTTTCTGCTTTAAACTGGATAATATGAGACTCCACCATCATAAATAAACAGAAACCTGGGATCAGATCCTAGGATATAGGGACTATATGGAAGGGCCCAGAGCTATTACTGGGTTTTCTTGGCAAGGTTTGTTCAGAAGGAGTTTGCCTTTGCATTTCTCTGAGGCTGAGAGAGTGTCGCTTACCTACGGTCACACAATGGGTTTCCATGACCAAGCATGGATTTGCACCTTGGCCCAAACCCACTATATTACACTGCTCTCATTTTTTGCACTACAACCCCAATTTTAGGCTGCAATGTCCCCACTGGGATTTTATATTTAAGCCCCAAGTTCTTGGGGGTTTAATGCAGAGTTACTAAGTAGGTGGGAAAACATATCTGCAATCACCTGAGGCATATTCTCTGACCTTGACATGGTCCTGCTATCTATTCAAGGCTTTCACTGCAGAGATCAGAGGCTCAAAATTGATAGCTTTTAAAAAAAAATCTTGGTATTCAGGTTGCTCGCAGAGAAATCTTTAAGAGGGCAGAGCTGTCTGGCTTTTTGCCAACCTTTAAAATAGGCTAAAACTTCCAAATGTATATAGTTTGAGAAAATAATACTTTTGTGAACAAGAACAATGCCTCTGCTGAAAGGAACATGGGTAAGCTTTTATAGGAAATACAGACACGGCAGGGATATCTAAATTCTTAACATCTTTTTCACTTTTTTCTATGGACAGCAGAAAGTCTGTTTTGAATGCATGCATTCCTTAACACATGCATATAAATATACACACCTCACTCCTTGGAGTGTGAGTAAACACACACAAATTCACACAACCCTTTGATTAGACCTGCCATATAACAAATTTGGGATGTCATGAAAGGTTGACAAATTTATCATTGCTTCATTTGTTATGACATGTTGAGTTATTGTCGAAGGCTTTCATGGCCGGAATCACTGGGTTGTTGTAGGTTTTTTCGGGCTGTATGGCCATGGTCTAGAGGCATTCTCTCCTAACGTTTTGCCTGCATCTATGGCAAGCATCCTCAGAGATAGTGAGGTCTGTTGGAACTAGGAAAAAGGGTTTATATATTATTACAACAGCACAACAACAAAGAGGAAACAAACAAGGATGTCTAATCACCTCTCAACAAAAGTTTGCTCTAGGCACTGTCAGGCCATTATATGCTAATCAAGGTGGTCAGTTGAAACATTCACACCTAGCTCCAGCAGACAAGAGTCCTTTGTCCACCCTGGTCATTCCACAGATATATAAACCCTTTTTCCTAGTTCCAACAGACCTCACTACCTCTGAGGATGCTTGCCATGATGCAGGCGAAATGTAAGGAGAGAATGCCTCTAGACCATGGCCATACAGCCCGAAAAAACCTACAACAACCCACTGTTGAGTTATTTCTTGTTGGGTTTTGAAATACCTTCATACATATACCTCATATATATATATATACACACTTCACACACACACCCCTCATACACATCACCTGAGGATAATTTTAAGCAATTTTAAACAATTTTAAATAATTTTATAAAATTACACCTGTGTACATTAAACCATCAGAAGGTAAGGTTGTCACTATCTCAGACACTCACATTAACCTCAGTTTTTGGATTACTTGGTATTTCGGAATTCCAGAAAAGGGGTGCTCCATCTATATCGTTTACTGTCAGGGAAAAGGAGAGAGACCGGGGTGCAGGTATTGCTTCATTTATGAAAATACCATAATTCACCATGTTATAGTCAACACCGCATAATAGTCGCACCTCTTTTTTTGGGTAAGAAATTTGCTTCCAGCCTTTATTTGCATAATTGTTGCATTTAATTAACACAGTCATTTGGGCCTCAGATTCTCCTTGTCTTCTTTCTTTCTTCAATGGCAAGGCAGTTGACAAATGCTGAAATTGAGCTTGGATCTTCCCTCCTTTCTCCGAGGCAAGGCAATTTAAAAAACAAACAAACAGTAATGAGATGTTTGTTTGGGGCTGAATCATCCCTCTTCCTTCTCCTGTCTTAGAGGTAATTTTAAAAATGAACTGGAGAATCAATGGCACATTTTTTTCATTGTATAACATTTGCACACCCATTTTTAGGCTAAAGGGGAATTTTAAATGTGACTATTATGCGATGAAATACAGCAACTTGGCTGCGAGCCCCCAGTGGCGCAGTGGGTTAAAGCACTGAGCTGCTAAGCTTGTTGATCGAAAGGTTGCAGGTTCGATTCCGGGGAGCGGCGTGAGCTTCCGCTGTCAGCCCTAGCTTCTGCCAACGTAGCAGTTCGAAAACATGCAAATGTGAGTAGATCAATAGGTACCGCTCCGGCGGGAAGGTAACAGCACTCCATGCAGTCATGCCGGCCACATGACCTTGGAGGTGTCTACGGACAACGCTGGCTCTTCGTCTTAGAAATGGAGATGAGCACCACACCCCAGAGTCAGATATGACTGGACTTAATGTCAGGGGACTACCTTTACCTTTACCTTGATAGGGATGAAGTGGAGGGGATTTGCTGCTCTGCTTCAGGCAGCAAAGTGACTTGGGATGTCCCTTTCTATAATCTTTGCTCTCTCTCCATATACTGTACACAGTTAGACAAGCATATAAAAGTTCATTTTTGAAGTAATCATCATTTGCATCATGCCCTCTGGCAAATATGTATAAAAGGAAACATATGTCAAACCTCTCTGCAGTTATCCACATCTCCACCTGTATTCTACCTGGACATAAACCAAATTATCACAGTAACAAATCTAATTAGGAAGGAAAAGACTGCGAGCAGAATAACAACAACTGCTTATAAAGCAGTTCACATGAGTGTACATAAAGCCCTGCCTTGTCAAGCCGAACTAGATGCCTCTAAGCTTGGAGGTGAATACACAGGAGCCAGGTTGGATCAAGCAAAGATTCATCATGTGCAACAACCTTTCGAGATAAGCACTCCCCTACCACAAGGCAAGGCTCTTCTCATAGAGAGAACTGTTAATCCTTCAGATGTCTCAGATTACGATTCACAGTATTTTGCCACTGGTCATGTTTAGTCAACCTGAAGTCATTGGCTGATATATCAAGATGGTCAATTGTTTTCCACACCTATTCTGTCACAAGGTGCAATAGTCTCACCACCAGGTTTCAGTTGCCTATGGACAAGTCATTTATGGGGTGGGGTGGGACTTGCACTAAAAGGGTCATCCTCTCCTCATCCCTGTTGCCATCCATCGCTTTTGGATTTGCCTTTCCCCTTTGGATCTGCTCTGTAGAGTGGCTTCAAAAAAGTGGACAGATGTCAATGGAGACTGTTGCTGATCCTTCTCCTTTTTCTTGTTCTTGCTCATTTGCTTAGAAGGGACAGGCAAAGAGGGAGCAATAGCAAGGCTGAATAGAGTCAGGGGTCTTCAAAGTGTCCAACAATTCACACAAACACGCA